GGTATACTGCTGGGCCATAGGTGAAACCGCGGCAGATTGGACACCTCTGGACGCTGTCTACTTCTCTTTTATAAGCATCACATCTATTGGACTTGGAGATATTGTTCCAACCTCCAGACTAATTGAACTAACTGAACAGTTGCTGGAGCGTCTTTCTGGAGGTTCATCTGCCGACAGTCAACAGGGCAATCAGCTTCAAGGACGATATGCTTTGGGTGCCAGCGGAAGAATCGCTTCCGCCAATTTACAACCCAACAGCACCATGGCAAATTATCATTAGGATTATTGAAAAAAAATACAGAAACCCAATTTACTTCCCTATTCCATTCCCCCCACCCCACCCCCTCTGTACCAAGGAGAATGACCTCCCTTTGTCCTTTTCGAGATGGCGTCATGTCACAACCTTCGCATTCTTCTTGAACCTCTTTATCTGTCAGCCACGTAGATGACAAGTGACTTAGAATTATGCTGTTATGTGCTTACCGAAAAGCTACTGATTGGTATCTTTCGTGGAATAAAGTTCGGTTTTTCAGATGCCTTTAATAGTCTCTCTGGTGACGCGAGAACGCTCCAGTCCATATGTTGAATAAACGGTCTACACGGTCTCTCTAGAGGTTGAAGCTCTTTCCCACTCCTATATGTAATGACAACGAGGGGCGATGATTGGAGCCCACTTGGATCACGGAATGGAATAACTCGTATTGAGACGATTCGACCAGCCATCAAGAAGATTAGGGGCCTATGGCCGTAGTTCAGTTGTCTTCAAAACTCCGAAAAGAATCCGCCATGAACTGGAAACCTATAATTGGGCCTTCACCAAAATGAAAACTTTTGGTTGAAGATATCGGCCTCTCGATATGGAAGCTCTCAAAAAACCTCCGTCAATGGCCAAAGTGAGGCCAAAGTTCCTCGAAACTCCGAAAAGAATCCGCCGTGAACTAGAACTTTAGAACCTAAGCAATTAGACTGGTTTGCGATTGCACTAAACTAGATTGAATCATCTGCCTACCATATTAGTAATCAACATGCGATAGCTGATTTCAACCTCTAAGATAGCTAAGCTCAAAACACTCTTAGGAATGGCAAACGATTCCCTTTGTCATGCCAAAGACCTGCCACCCACTAGATTTTAATGTTATTATTCTTCCCTATATTCTAAAATAATCTAGTCACTTGCAGCCCATTAAAGAGTGAAATATATCGTAAGCTACATAAAAAACGTCTAATATACCACCTCTTGGCATATTGTGCCTACTAAGATTACTTGAGGAAATAATTAACTAATAGTCGACAAAAAGAAGTAGCCACTAATAGTCAAGTCAACGGTTTTGACAGATTCTCCATTTCAGCCTAACTCGCATTTGGATACCTCTCTCTTAACTAATGCGCTCAGCTCTGACGCACACTAGGGGTGTAAGAGTGATCATAGTACTGGTACACTCCTTGACAACTTAGGCTATTGCCGTTGCCTGTTCTCCCCCCCCCCCCCCCCAAGTT